TTTCTTTTCTCCATGAAAATTTGGTTTAAAAATATATGGCTAAAATTTAGCTCCCCTGAACTTAGGCTTGTAACATTTGAACTTCCGGATAGTTTTGGGGCAGGATTTCCAAAGTGTTTAGCTTGTGAAAATTGCAGATGGAAGCAGAGTGGGATTTTCAAAAGCCCTTAAACAGACAAGGTACTTAGCTCCCATTTAAATTAATCAGTTGGATTGAACAAGTTTGCTTTGGCACTTCTGAAAGTTCCACTGCTAAGTGCTTATGTCTATATATAAAAATATGATTTTCAAAAGAGTCTGAGCATCCAGCAACTTTCTTTAAAGTTTATGACTATTTAGCAGTTCTGAAAATAGTACAGTCTCCCTGACTGTGTTCCCAAATTATCCTCCTTCACTTTTTTGTTTCTTACGTTTCTACTATCATTATTGTCTGTTGTGGTTTGGGCCTATGTTGTCATTCACTCACACGCCCCCCTTCACACACACACACACACACACACACATACTGTGGGGAGGACAAAGGCCAACTAGAAACTCATGGGTCAAGACAAAGGACAAGGAGGATTCTTCATCAATTAAGGTCACGGGCAAAATGCACTCAAATTGGGGAAAAATAATAATTTAACCTATCTCTAATCAAATGCACACAGGACACAGACAACACAAAGAGCAGTGCTCACATACGTTACCCTCACTCCTCCCTTCTTCCTGGTCCCAAATTACTTTGTTCCCAATTTCTCTGCCTTCTTCCCTCAGCAGCACAGGGGGACAGGGGATGGGGTTTAGAGTCAGTTCACAGTCTGGTGCTTCCTGCTGCTCCTTCCTCCTCAGGGAGAAGGATTTCTTACAGTCCTTCCCTGCTTCCCCACAGGGAGAGAGTCCTCCAAGAACCTCTCCAACATGAGTCCTTTCCATGAGGTGCAGTCCCTCAGGAGCAGGCTGCTCCAGTGTGGGTTTACCACAGAGTCACGATCTCCTTACGAAACAGTCGCTTTCTATGGTGCAGGGTTCTCCATGGCTGTAGGCCCAAGTTCATGGGCTGCAGGTCCACATTCACCCCTCCTGACACCTTCAGGGGATGCTCTGCCATGTTTGTCTTCCAGGGCATACAGGGGGACAGCCTGCCATCTCACCATGGGATGCGGGGGAACTTCTGCTTGGTTACCTCCTTTCCCTTCTTCCTCACCCACCTCAGGATCTCCACTCCAGCTCAGGTCTTCTGTTCTCTCTGCTTTCCCGTATTATATCAGTTCTTTCATATGTTAATTGTAGAGGTGCATCTATTCTCTCTTTAATGGCTCAGCTTTGACCACCTGATTTGGAGTTGGGGGAGTTTTTAGGAACTTCTTAAAGGAGCCACCTCTGGGGTTCTCCATCACTACCAAAAAAACCTGTCAAACCAAACCAGCACATTGTCTAAAGTTAATCTCAGAGAAGAAGTGGGATCAATAGTGCTAGAGTCTACAGAAAGAAAAATAATTACATGGGTGAATCTTCTGCATAGCTTTCAGAAGTTTGGTTCTTTGGTGTATACATTCAGTGACTGGAAAACTGATAGAGCTTTAAGACCATTGTAATGATTTCTTCTGAATTATTACATTCATATTATGCAAAATTAATAGCTCAAAAATATACTACAATGAGTGTGCACGTTATGGATACCTAGGAATGAGCCAGATGTCCAGAAGTAGCATGATTTTTCAGTCTTTAATTGCTGCATACACAGAAGAACTTAGCAGACATGTTTGGATGTTATAAAAACAAGCAGTGCTAATCTGAGGTATAGTTTCTCTTGCCCTTTACACTGCCTCTGTTACAGTAGTGTCTAAATAACAGTCTGAGGGTGTACACATTTTAGCATTTTGGTGTCAATCAAGAGGCTACTTTTGAAATTAATCTCCTAATTATTCCCACTTAGCACACTTGCTCTTTATGGAGTGTGTCTCAGGCTCTGTGAACTGGGCTGCTTTTGGTTGAAATGGAAATAGAAGGTGCTTTCCAGAAAGACATCTAATTTTCTTATGGTTTAGGAGAGAACTTCGTAGAGTAGGGATGATGATTGGACTTGGTGATCCCAAGGGTCTTTTCCAACCTAAATAGTTCTATGATTCTATGATTCTTTGATCATTACTGGGTGTGTTCAGTCCCCTGAACTACATCAAAAGTAGTTCCGTATAAACTTTCTTCCCAGAATCGAATTTCAAATACTGATCAAGGTGAACCTCAGGCACTGCAATTTATTGGCAGCCAGGAGGAGTTTTTAAGCATTGTTTTGGACAATTAAAGCACTGTCAAGACAAAAGTATGTGAAATCATAAGTAGCTGTACAGTTAAAAGTTTGTGTTTTTTTTTCTTTTATAAAGGTAGAAGTTTTGAAAGACAAAGGAATTCTGTGTAGCTGTCTGAGCCGTGGGTGCACAATACAGTAAATGTGGCTTTAGAACACTGGATGCTAGATCAGAAACACTGTAGTGTGTATGGTATTAAGTGCTGATCTGCTATGAACTTGCTTTGCAAGTTCAAATGTGCTAAAAAATATTGGACATCTTAGCTTTATCCTGTCAGGCTTTCTGCCAGATTAGATATTGCCTGTCCATGCCATTCTAAGTGTGAGCTGGATCAGGTGTTGTGTACTCTGCTGGTGATTCTGTATTGTGTGCTATAATCTGGGTGAATATGCAGTAATGTTCTTTCTTGAGTCATCCTAAATTTATCCAGAGATTTAGATTAATGACCATGGCCTCCTGTTGCCCCCATTATCATAGTAGCTGGCTAAATCACAAGCTTTGATATATTTATTCTCCTAACAACACTGTGAAGGACAATATGTCTTTGCTATCACACTGAAACATCATAACATGTTTTCTCTCCTGTCAAGTAGATGAAACAGTAAGGACTATGCAGCCTTTGAGAATTGCAGTGATTAAACTGTTAACAGAGGTGAATATTTTCTTAGTGTCAAGTGCTGTGCTAGGGCTCTATCCAAGTGGTTTCATGCAATTGGATTATTATGTTTTTTTAGAAAGCTAATTACTTAAATGATTTCCTTTTAGATACTCACCATATTCTGCATTCTGTGTAACTACCACAGTTCTTGATCTAAAATATAGTTAACTTCTGAAGGTTCAGGACAAATCCAAACTCCTCGGAAGTCTTTGAGTGACTCTGGGGTTTCACAGAGCTTGTCATATGAACAAATTTATTGCCTCCTTCTTGCTGTGTGGTGAATAACAGAAAAGTTCTACACTGTGTGGGAGAGTGGACAGAGGCGATGAACCCAGCTGCTTGTTGCTGCTTAATTCTTCCAGAGTGGTGCTTTAACCAGTGTGGTCTCCAAGGAAGCCAAATGAGGCTGGTGATGTTACATTGTGGTTTTATTGAAAATCTGTTAAAAATTGCTAGAGAAATAGACCCTTAAGGCCAAAATGTGCCTTTTGATAAGCTGTCCTCATCCTGTCCTCCTTCAGGAGGAACTGAAAACATTCCTGAGATGTGAAGTTGTGTTATTGCTCTTTCAGTTATAAATAAAGCCCCCAAATTAAACAACAGTGGTAAGCACTTAATAGACAAGACCAAGGCATGTCCTTTGTCCTTGAGTGCTTACCATTTAACAAAGGAATCTTGAAGGTTCATAGAATCATTAAGGACCTCAAAGATCATCAAGTTCCAACCTCCATTCCATGAGGAGGGAACCCTACCACTAGATGAGGTTGCACAAAATCTCATCTAACCCGGCCTTAAAAACCTCCAGGGATGGGGCATCAACAGCCTCCCTGGGAAACCCATTCCAGTTCCTCACCACCCTTATAGGGAAGAATTTCTTCCTAATATCTAACCTACATCTCTCCTCTCTCAGTTTAAAACCATTAACCCTTGTCCTATCACTATCTTCTGTGATGAAAAGTACCTCCCTTTCAAGTACTGGAAGGCTGCTATAAGGTCTCCCCGGAGCCTTCTCTTCTCCAGCCTGAACAGCCCCAACTCTCTCAGCCTGTCTTCATAGCAGAGGTGCTCCAGGCCTTTAATCAAGGTTGGAGCATGGGTGCCACATAGAAAGCTTCTGGTGCCTACAGGTAGCTCTTTGCTGCATGCACACTCACTCGGTGTGTCCTCTTGCAGAGCACGGTTTTGCTAAGGGTGGGCTAAGGAGAGCTGGGACCAAAATGAGTGATATTATTAAGCAGTAGATGCTTTAAATCCATTCATTTCCTGATCAGATTGTACTGGCATATTGGAAGAGTAAAGTGGATGAAAAATATTTTTTGTTGATGCACTTCTGTGGAGGATTTAGAAAACAAGACTGCATTCTGTACATAGTTCTGTACTACAAAAAGATCCTTGGATTTTTTAAACCAGTGGGACTTGAGTAGTAGCCATGCCATGAGTTCTTTTCCATTATTAAGCAAAAAGGAGCATATACTCGTTTTTGTTTTCTAGAAATGCAATCAAAACAGTTTCATGCATTTCAGGACTTAAAAAGTGGAAAAGTATCAAGTATCTGCTTTTGTGGAAAAAGTATCATTATAAATCTTTTTTCTGGCACTCTTCACTCTGCTGCAGTGCATGCAAGGAGATTTTAATATATTTCTGTACTGTACTAGAAACTTACTTGAAACTCAGCCGTATTTCATAATTAAATGTTTGAGAACTACTGGTATTTATATTTGCATGTGATTAACTTTTAAAGCATTGTGTACAGGGCTTTTTGCTTTTAAACTAGCCTGGAGTCAATAAATATCTTTACAGATGTCAATTTGGTCAGCAGTGAAGACATAAATAGAAACTAATGATACTCATCAAGCCTGTGGCATGAATGTTTTATTGGACACAATCATTTAACACTTTCATAAAGTCAATACAAGGGAAAGAAACTGGTTTCTTATTATGGTAAACTGTGTTTGTACTGTCAGCATGCAGTGATTTATGACAAACCTGTGGCCGGGATTAGGATATTATAGATGGGGGAAAATAGAAGGCTCATTAATTTTTTATACCCACAGGTAGAAGACATGCAGTGGGCTAATAGACAACATACTCATCCAGCATCTGTCTGCAGCTTGCCCTGTAAAGCTGGGGAAAGAAAGAAAACGGTGAAGGGAGTGCCCTGCTGCTGGCACTGTGAACGCTGTGAGGGGTACCATTACCAGGTGGATGAATTCAACTGTGAACTGTGCCCCATTAATAAGAGACCAAATGCCAACCGTACGGATTGCCAGCTTATCCCTATAATCAAACTGGAGTGGCATTCTCCTTGGGCCATTGTGCCCGTCTTCATAGCTATTCTTGGTATAATTGCCACTACCTTTGTGATTGTGACATTTGTGCGGTACAATGACACCCCGATTGTCAGGGCCTCTGGACGGGAGCTGAGTTACGTGCTCTTGACTGGGATTTTTCTCTGTTACTCCATTACTTTTTTAATGATTGCAACTCCTGATACAGTCGTCTGCTCGTTTCGAAGGATCTTTCTAGGACTTGGCATGTGTTTCAGCTATGCTGCCTTGCTTACCAAAACAAACAGGATTCACAGAATATTTGAACAAGGTAAAAAATCCGTCACAGCGCCCAAATTTATTAGTCCAGCTTCCCAGCTGGTGATCACTTTCAGCCTCATATCCTTGCAGCTTATTGGAGTCTTCATCTGGTTTGCTATTGATCCACCACATACCATCGTAGACTATGGAGAGCAGAGGACACTTGAACCAGAAAATGCCAGGGGAGTTCTCAAATGTGACATTTCAGATCTTTCTCTCATTTGTTCCCTTGGATACAGTATTCTCTTGATGGTCACATGCACTGTTTATGCTATAAAAACAAGAGGGGTTCCAGAGACCTTCAATGAAGCAAAACCCATTGGATTTACTATGTATACAACCTGCATAATCTGGTTAGCTTTTATTCCAATCTTTTTTGGTACGGCCCAGTCAGCAGAGAAGGTAAGTGATGATAAGCTTACAAATCAAATGTTACCGTCTTTTTATTATCTTACAAACAAGTAATTCTGAATGCTAATTGGAAACAAACTCTCAGAAATCACAGATAATAAAATATATTATTCGAAAGGTAGGTTTCCTATATTTTAACACAAGAAACTGAAAATGGTTGTGGTTTGACTGGTGTAATAATGTTGACATTTTCTCAATATGTCCTTAAATGACTGTTTCTTCTTATGCTTATTATTACTCTTCAATGATGCCCTAGCCTGTTACGTGAAGCACTATAAATCTTTGTTATCATCCACAGACCTGATAGAAATGGTTACATTTCAAAAGTCTAGGATCAGCTTACATTTGTCAAAAATAATGGAGAAGAATGCCCAGGCAGAATGAAAATAATTCCTTTTCTATCTGGTTGATGCATATAACCTTAAAAAAATATATTTAAAAAAATGGAAGAGTGAATGAAGTTTATGTAAGATCATAGAGTGTAATTCACTTATTATTATCTCAGAACAAAATGAAAATATCTTCCTGATATTTTAATGATAAATTAAATGTTGCATATTCAGATATCTGTTATTCCTTGTTCGGTTGGCATGGATCTTTCCTGATATCAGTCATGGTGACCAGTACAAAATATGTCAGACATTTAATTCTGTCTCTCAGTTCTAATGGGAAGGCAGAGGTGACTGTCAATGGAGTGAGTTTTTGTCCAGCTGCAAAAATAATTTGCAATAATAGCAAAAAATGGCAGGTTAGGTAGGTAAGAGCAGTAATACCAGCATCAATCTTCAGAACTGTAAATCTGAGATTTGGGAAATTTTTAAAAATAAGAAATTAACATTACAAGTCTTTTACTGAAACTCTCTCCCCATTTCTTCTAGCAGGAGATTTTTAAAATGTTTTAAAAGATGCATTTTTCTTTAATTCATTTAATTGGAAAATCCAACATGTCCACTTATAGTTGTGCAAAGGTTTGACATATCTCTGGTTTAGAGGCCACTCTTGCCTGCAGAATTAAAGAATTGGTTTTTATAGCTTGATAAAATAACTCCAAATTTAAGCAGAGTATTTGTATAGGGGAGAAAGTATGGCAGAAAAAAATTTCTTTACTAAAATTGAGGTAAGCAGGCTTGCTGAATTGGTTCAGGCTTGATTTCTGTGGCTTTTTGGATTAAGTCAGGGGAAGTGAGTACCAAGGTAATGGCATATCATAGAGCAAGCAAAGATAAATAATCCTCTTTGCTATAGAAAGACATGTTTGGGTGAATTGTATTTAAGTTTTTACTCTTTTTGAATGTGTAGGCTGAAGTCAGAAAAATACTCTGTTATATAAATGTGTGGTACTTTTCCTTTTGACAACTTGGGTCAGCTAATTTTATGGCAAGCACCTGTAACAAAAAAATATGGTTTTGAATTTCTGGCAATGATATAGTGAATTTTAATTTACACTACTGGTTCACTTTAGCTTGTAAGTAAAGGATGATTTGGGTTTGACCTATAAAGGTAAATAAAAATGAAGTTATTGAGAACACCTTTTGCATTTCTTGTATGTAACCCAAGTCTGAACTGAAATTGTACTAAATCACACAGCTTCTAACACTGAATTTCACTTGTTTGTTGCCTTTTTCTGTAAATAAGATGTTATTCTTCAAATAATGACTTTTAGGAGCTACAACCCCAATATATAGTAGCTCTGTAATTAAAACATTTTTTTCACAGTGCTTCCACTTTTTGCTGCAAATAAAAACATCTTTCCACAGAGTCTTATGGACATCATCATAATAGCTCACACATTTATACAACTAAAATGCTTGTTTAAATTGGACAACAATGTAATATCTAGTGCACACATATTCATTTTCTGAATAAACTCAGAGTTGTTTGGAGGTTTTGCAATTAATGCAGAACACCAGAAGAAGCATTTTGAAAACATGCTAATACATTGTAGAATATCTTATTTGAAACTCAGTATTCAGACTTCTTTTAGGTGCTTACTCCCTTTGCAGTTGATGTTAGAATCCTGTTATAATGTTTTTTAATGGCTTGAGTTTGTTCAGAAAGAACATAGGAATAATCTGGAGAACTTAAAAAAACTTAAAAGCTGAAATGCTGCCAGTAATAAAATTTAACAGAACATTAATTACAAGCCAGTTGTGCTACCAACTAGCAATTCATTGAACTACTAGCTTTAGACACCTTTAGACACACTTCTGCTTGAATAAAGAGTATTTAAAACTTAACAAATATGTCTTGAGGAAATTCTGTTTTCCTAAACATTAGTAGTACAACAACAACAGAAATTGTTATTAACATTTGAAAGAGAGGTAATATTGCTTAATTAACTATTCCATGAACACAGATTAAGTAGAAAGCATCTTGAGAAGCCTTTATTTTTATTTTACTGTTAAACTGTTTTGACCGATAAACAAAAAACTATGACCATTAATGATAAAAACAGGTGTCTAGATCCAAAATTTATAGATTGTCGTGGAAAGGTTACATTGATACCTTGGGGTCAATTCCAAAAAGTGTAAATTTGCTAAGAGATTCTAGATAGAAACTAGAGAACTATAAACTTGTATGGCAGGCACAAGTCCATAAATTGAGTGTTGATGTCCATCAAACTTCAAATATGTGTGATAAAAGCCATGTAAATAGACATAAGTACATTTCTGCAGACAGAATCTTGCTTGTATGTTCTTGCTGTGAAGCACAGGATGGGAAACTCATCTATCTCCACTGTGCGTTTTAGGAATCTTGGGACTTTAGCTGGCTAATATAGCTGAGTTAAATGCTTCAATTTGCATGATGTGGCACTTCCATAAGAGAAAACATGGTAAAAGTTAAGGTAACTTGACAAGACTCAGTGGGAGTACGTTGATTTATGGTTTTGACATTTGTAACATTTTTAACAGCTCCTTATAAAAGACACTGTTTCTACTTGTATATTTTATCTCAGTTTATGTAAAAGTTTAAAATTAATACAAAATTGAGAAAGCTACCATATAATTCTGAAGAAATTAAAAATAATGTGCATCTATGACCAATCAACAAAAGGTGAAAATACCATTTCAAAATAACCTTGCATAACCCAAGCTTAGTGGTTTTTATGGAACTCCGTGTTTATTGTTCTTAATCTAAAGCAGTAGACTAGCCCCCTGTGCTAATAAGCACACCATTTTTAGATTGTAATTTCTATAGATGTTCTGCAGAGAACAATAAGAACATTGATTTTAAGTCCTGTGTGATTTTTTCTTTTTTTTTTTTTTTTTTTCTAATTCATGCTTTTGTCTATTGTTGATCAATCAATCCTGTTTTGACAGCTGCTGCTTTACAAAAGGAAGCACTACAAATAATTAATTTTTTTCCAGTGCATCATTGAACTGAATGAAAAATGTAACCCTAAGACATAAAATACCAGTTTTCTAATACTTGTGTAAGTGTAAGTGAGGTGCTTTAGAGGAAAAGTAATGAAATTCTGTGAGAAAGTATCCTGTGAATACAGTTTTCATCTTTGTCATGCAAGTGTAAATGGCAAACCCAGGAAATATTAGGATCACCTGTACTGGAGATATCTAAACTGTCAAAATTACTGGAATGCCACAGAAAAAGAGTGAAATTAACTTAGTGATTAAAACAGATGTTGATGAACTTCGGAGTAAAATTACAACAGCAGATGGCACAGAAACCAGCTAGCATAGGTGGCTGTCTAAAGTATATTACTATTTGACAAACTGAATTATTATTATTTGTTTACCCTTTTGCTGGTTTTGACAGGTGGATCAATCATGTCCTTTCATAGATAATAATTACATCATTTATTATATTAACCAGGTGAATACTTGCTTCCCATGCTATGAAAGAATGGAGGGTATACTTTTTGTTTAGAAGAGAGGACCACAGAAAACAATGAACAACTTCTTTCTTCTCCTCCCATCAGAAGCAATTGCAAGGTGTCATCAAACATGGCAGATAGATTTTAGTGTATTTTCCAGTTATTCTGACAAGTTTGATCTCTCTTTTCATAACTGCAGAAAGGCAAAGCAAGTTGTTAAGTATGGTATATTTTTTTCCTTACATTATTGTCCTTAAGATTTTACTATTTGAGCTGTTTTCATCCTGGATTTCCTGATCATGTGGATCTTATGCATATGTCCAGCTGTTAGTAACATTAAAAGAAGCTAGAAAGACTTTCAAGAATATATCAATATTCATTTGACTTGGAAGCTTCTAATTGAGAAGAGGAAGCTACTCAGTTCTCAGTGGGATGGAGATGTAGTGCTGTCAGTATGGTAAGATACGTTCCTTAGCTTAACAAAAAAACCAACAAAAACAACAACAAAACACAACAAAAAAACTACAAATGACCAGTCAGGTAGAGACCTTTTACTTCCTCTGCATTTCTACAAAATTTAAACAATCTTTTTGTTGTTGTTGCTTATGCTATCAGTTCTTGGCTAATGTGTTCCTGTGAATGTAAGAAAATAAAGCATCTTAATGATGCCTCAGAATGTGTTAATGAAGCAGACTACACTAAGCCTTTTCTTCATCCTAAAACATTCTCTTCTAATTCTGATCATATTCATAGTTTTAGCTCTGCAGATAGTCATTGCAGTACACATCACAGGAAACGTAAAGAAAGATAACTTATCATGTTAGTATTTCTTCCATTTTATTAATAATGTTTGGCTTTGTCAAATCAGAATCTTTAGTGTCAACACTGTGTGTAGCATGAGGATTAATTAATCTGAGGGATATTTAGAACCATTTTCATTATTACAGGACCCAAAGTTAGAAGACTGCTGAAGTTATATTTTCCACAGTTGATCATTGTTCAAAATTAACAAATCAGATAAAATTCACCATATTGTCTGATAGAATTATCCCTCCCTCTCATATGAAAGTGTATGTTAAAGAAGGAGGTGTTTTTTGTAAGGTTTTATCATTTCAAGTTTTCCAGATGTAGATATTTTGTGAGCTGAATTATTTCCAAA